ACAATGAATCAAATCCAATTAGTTGAAAAATTAAACCATAAAAGACAAAAAACGGTGGCAGGCTTTTTGCATTTGCTTTCATTAGCCAAGAGAAGCACATTACAGAAATGATAAATTCAACAATTTTAAATAATTACCATCTAAAATGTTTTTACTCTTTGCCTAGTGATAAAATCAGAGGCTGAAGCTTCTGCAGCTACAAAAACAGACATTGTGCAGCTACTGATGTTAAACGCTTGAGCTATCATCTTTGTGAAAGTGTTGTGATATAACAGTCTATTAACCAAAAAAAATAAATAAATAAACCTAATATGTATTACTCATAATGGCTAAAGATAATTGCATTAATTGATTTTTGATTCATGTTGCAAACTGGACCAAAGGTGAAACTTTTCAGCACAAAAAAAAAGAAACTGTCCAGATGACCCGACTGAAAAATGTTGGAATATATACAGTACCTGGATTATTGAGCATGGACTTTGTTGTTTTCAACCAGTTGAACAAGACTGTCAACAAGGAAGAGGGCCGGCAATGGAGGAGGGGGCGTACCAAAGAGACCATCTTATCACAAGCAGAACTGGTTTGTTCCACTTTGGAGTAAGCTGTTGGGGGAAGAATCAGTTTTGTTGCGTTTCCTTGACTGATGAAGCCTTCTGGACCGAAGGCGAAACGTTTCAGCACAAAAAAAAAAAAAAAAAAAATGTCCAGATGACCTGAATGAAAAATGTTGGGTTGCAAACAAATGTTTTCAAGTCCTTTCAAATTTCTTAGAGAGTTTGTTGCCCTCTTTATATCGTCTAGTCCAGGGGTTCCCAACACTGGTCCATGAGGAACACCATCCTACATGTTTTAGTTGTTTTTCTGCTCCAACACATTGATTTTAATTAATGGGTAAATGACAGGCTTCTGCAGATCAAGAGGAAGTAATTAAATCACTGAATCAGGTGCGCTGGAGCAGAGAAACAACTAAACCGTGCAGGATGGTGTTCCTCAAGGACCAGGGTTGGAAACCACTGGTCTAGTCAATGCCATTTTATTCCAAATCTGTAGCAGAATCCAGCAGATACAGATCAATACTCTGTTAAAATTTTAATTATAAAATATTATGTCATCTAGATGCTTTAGTTAGACATCTGTTTGCAATGTCATATGATTAGTTAATTACATTACCTGCAGAGAGCCGAACATGTGATTTTATTTATGAAAATATACATTGCAGTGGGTCATTTAGTGTTGTACGATGTTTGGAAACAAAGACCTTAGACAGTATACACTTTGACTAAAGTAGGACATCTACTACCAAACAGTTTCATCGGCCAGCTGTGTCACTGCTTATGGTGCTAATGTGATCACTGCCGTGTGCCAACAGTTAAACATGGAAAAATAGTCGCCTATATATTGTGATCTCTGTAAAGCTGCAGCGCCAATATTTCAGCGAGGCATTTGCAGGGACGACTGTCACCAGATCAATATAGACTTAACATTTTTTGTAAAGATTTTTCTATGATTTCTGTTCTTTCTGGGCAGCCTCCTATAACTAGAATAAGTGACAATTTTACATTTGGGGATTGGGATTTATTAGTTAATGGTTGTATTGTGAGTGAGGTACCAAAATAAGTCTAATTTAGTTTATTTTGCAGTGGCAATTTATCATTATAATGCTTCTCAAACATCTATCTATTGTTTTGATAGTTACAATACATTAGCTGCATGTGTTCGTAAAGGTACACATATGAAACTGTGTGTAGAAAAATAAAAAGGGCTTTGATATGCATTTCCAGTTTATTTAAATATAGTTATTTTATGGGTTTAACACAGGAATACAAACATCAAGGTGCAAGGTTCTTGACGGTCATTTGCATCACATGTGGTACATGAGGTGGAACAAAATTGTATACTCAAGGTCCCAGTTACACCCAAAAAAAGCAAAAGCATAAAGTATAAAAATAAAGAGTATACAAGGATCTAAGATATACTGTATGCTAAACAATAATAATGTAATATAATCCAGTATATAAAACAGCAGCCTGAACATGAGTCTGTTATGAGCAGATGGGTACAGCAGCTTAAAGGCAAGAAATCAGCAGAAGGGATAATCAGCAGCACAAATAAATCACATATCACCAGTTAAAGTGACATTACAGTGGTTATTCTGGTTAGGGATTTATGAGTCTAACAACTTCAGGGTAGAAGCTGTTCCTCATACTAGTGGTTCTGCAACCTCCTGCCTGAGGCGAGTGGGGTAAAAATTGTGTGTGCTGGGTGAGTGGGGTCCTTCATGATGTAGGTGGCCCTCTTCCTACATCTGGAGGTTCAAGGATTCAAGGTTCTTAATTTGCCATACACACCACATGTGGTACATGAGGTGGAACAAAATTGTTTACACAGGGTCTCAGTTACATCCAACAAAAGTATAAAATGTAAAATAAAAACAGTAATAATATCTAAGATATGAACTAAGAAAAACATTAAACTAAAAATACACTAAGCACTTGTAGCATAAAAAACAATACACCAAACAGCAGCACGAACATGAGTCTGTGTGAGCAGATGAGCACGAATGAACACAGCAACATGAAACAAACAGATCAGCAGCAACATGAAGCAGATCAGCAGCAACATGAAGCAGATCAGCAGCAGCATGATGTGATTTTTCACAGTGATTATTCTGGTTAGAGATTCATGAGTCTAACAGCCTCAGGGTAGAAGCTGTTCCTCAGTCTAGTGGTTCTACACTTAATGCTCCTTAACCTCATTCCTGAGGGGAGCGGGGCAAAAAGCGAGTGTGCTGGGTGAGTGGAGTCCTTCATGATGCAGGTAGCCCTGTTCAACCTCCTACCTGTAGCCAGACTCATCATTGTTTGTAATGAATCCAACCATTGCTGTATCATCTGTAAACTCTACAATATGACAGCCTGGATAGGTAGGCGGCGTGCAGTCATATGTGAGCAGAGTGAAAAGGAAGGGCTCAACACACAGCCCTGAGGGGAGCCAGTGTTGAGGGTTTTGGTGGAGGAGGAGAAGTTGTGGAACCTCACAGACTGTGGTATGTGGCACTGCACAGACTTTAGAAAACTCAAAACACACTTTTCTGGTTTTAAAATGTTATTTATCAAACACTGGTGGGTAAAGCATACAGTAGCTTGTTGGTTTAAAAAGTGAATGATCAGTTTGGGTTTTTATAGAAGATGTCTTGTGGCAGCGGCATGACCTGAAAGGCATTTAGCCAAAGTTAAAAACTATTATCCCCGAGTCCAGAAGAATGAGGAATGGATCACCAGTAAAGTTATGAATGATGCACATCAGAATTCACATGTTTTTATTATTACATTCTTTCTGAAACTCATAATGTGTTAAAAAAGCGGTATGAAAAAAAAGCTAATTAAACTTTTGAAGTCATCTGATGCACATAGAAACAGCTAAAGCTTCCTGGTGACAAACATGAATTTCTAGCAGTCCTGCTGTAAGTTCTCAGTTTGTAAATTCTTTGTTTTAGGACCAACAAAGTAGCGTTGCCACTCTGGTACCACTTTATCCAGATATCAGCTGGTTGTTTGGCTGTTGGAACCAAAAATACTCGCTTGAGATGAAACTATCTCAAAAGATTGCCTGAATTAATAAAGGGGTAAACAGTGGATATATTCATATTTTATACACAACTGAGATTCAGCAGCCATGTTTGGAAGACTAAGGATGTAAATGATGGATTAGGGAAGCTGGCTGTAAAATGGACATTTACAGCAAGACCAAACATTTTCGCTGAAAAAGTAAATTAAAGGGTTCACTTTTTTTGTGAAACTTGTTCCAAAAATTGAATATGAGCATTTCTGCTAGAACAATCAAATTATTCGTACTACTTTTCCTTAAAAATTGAATTTACATTGATTTCTTTATACAGCCTCATTTTCGGAGATGTGTTGCTGCCATCCAATTCAAAATGACATTACTTTATTTGGTGGCCCAAGGCTGTGCAACAGTTTGCCCCTGCAGCTTCATTTTGCTGCCTCTGAGGAGGTTTTTAAAAAGCAACTGAAAACACTTTTATTCTCCCAGGCTTTTATGTCAGGATTTTATTGTGCTTCTTATGCTTTTTTTTAATTCTTTGTATAATTTAACGTTGATTTTTATTGTTCAGCACTTTGTGATTTCACGTCTGTGAAAAGCGCTCTATAAATAAACTTTACTTACGTACATTATCTCAAAAGGTGGTACAAACACACTTAAACATCATTCAACCATTTTCATTGTGAATAAAATAAGAGTTTATGAGATGTGAAAATTATAGTTTTTTTATTTTTTATCTACATTTAACACAATTTACAACTTTTGCGTTATTGAGATTGCATGTCTAATTGGAAAATCAGTCAATGCTTATAAAATACTAAACTATGGCCAAATCAACATAGAAGAAACTCTTCCTACATAAAAAAGCTGCTCCCATCTCCACCTGGACCAAACCTTATGGCAAAATGATTAAACTGAGCTGCAGCAATTTCTGTTTCTTCCTCTGTAAAGTTTAGTGTTACTACTTGCTATCTGCGTTTTGGAAGTCTGCAGAGACGTCTTCAGGTAGACCACGAGGTGCATTTTGGAGAAAGCTGAGCCTATCTGACCACAGTAGGGGAAAACTGCCTGTTTGTTTTGATTAGAAGGCTAAAGAGCTGCTCATGTTCAAGGACGGAGACAGAAGAAAGACAACACTGATACTCTGTGTGTGTGCATGTGTGTGTGTTGCCTCCATTCAGTATATGCAGAAGATTCCTTTGAGTGTCCTTCAAGACTAATGACACTCACTTCTCCTCAGAGCTAAAAGATGGATGCACAGAGACGTAGGAGCAGTGTATGGACATGGAGCGATAAGCATTCATTCAAACTGCTGCCACTCACTCAGAGGAAAATGTCTGATGTGTCAAAATGACGCATGCGTCCCTTAAAAAAACACAAAGGAGAATGACAGCAATCACGTGCCACGTGAAGCGTGACTTAACGAAATCCTTCACCTTCATACGTTCCACTCTCCAGCAGGGCTCCGCTTTTCTCCAATTCCATAAACCGGTCAACAGTCACAAAATTATAATCCACGCCTGGGACCTCTCCCTCCTTCGGCTGCCGGGTGGTGCCTGCAAACGTAAAAGGAGAGGCGTCAGTGCATCAAAGCAGAATTAGATCAGAATTTGTTCGCGTTTCTTATAAAGAAATCTGAACTTGGCCGTGATGAGACACACCGACCCTGACTCTGCTCTTTTCATTAAACGTCCCCTTTTATTCCTCTTTGTCCTTCTGCCCAATGGAGGAAATAAAAAGTGATGCAATTTGGACACCCAGAGGTGAAACGGAGTCCATTTGCATAGAAGTGACACCATGTCAAATAATGTTTTACCCTGTAAAAGGATCATTTGAAACCAAATTTACCAACATGATCATTAGTTTTCCTCCAGAATATGTGTGTGGGAGTCTTTACCTTGCTAAACTGCAATACAACCAAACTCCTGAGCACTTTTTCAGAACCGTGTGCCGATTAAAGTTAAAACGGATCCCAGTGGTGATGACACCTTCCACTCTTGAGGTGCTGAATGGGTTTTCACATCTGAGAGCGTTGTTCAAACTAAAAGCAGAGGCTGTAAAGAACACTTGGTAGACTTTCACAGAGCTATACTGTTAATAGTATCCAATTGTGCGTGTTAAGGTTTCATTAAAACCCAACCAGTGGTTCAGGTGGTGCTTTGCTAACGGATAAGCAGTAAACTACAAACAGAGAATGGCAAATGTATTTATACTCAGACTATGAGTTGAGGTTCAGTCTCGGCTACTACATCACCAAATTTTAGTTGAATGGGTGCCATCTTCTTGTTTTTAAAAGCTGGCTGTGGCAGCTATCCTGACTCGGGTTGACTACAAAAAGTTAATTGGTTGACGAGATAAGTCAAATAATTGCATCCTGCAAGTGTTATTACAATCCGTCCAATGGATCATGAGATATTTTGCTTAAAGGAACACACACACATACACACAGACAGGTAAAAATCTTGTTCTGTGCTTTTTGGCGGTGTGCAATAATCACTGCTTGAAGAAAAGCATTTGTTAAATAAATGCTGATTAGTGCACATTTAACTGTAAATGCTGTTCTGAACGAGGTTGGGTTAGTACATTTACTTAAGAGCTAGACAGGATGAAATTGTTTTCTTTGGTTCACTACGAAAAGAAAAAGAAAAGGAACCGAATTGGCCGTCTCTCCTCAACTTTCTACCCCTAAAGGGACCAGTATGAAGAATAAAAGGTTGAAATAGTCTTCAGGTTCTGTGGGGTGTGAACCAGGCAACATTTACAGGACAGTTGCAGACATTTCTGTGCCATTTCTCTTATAAACTGCATTTACACTTTATGCTTTGAGCCTTAACATTTAACCAGTCGTGTCCACTTTTTTTACTAACTGGACAGATGCTTGGGGGTGAGAAAGAAAGATAAGGTTGAACATTTCTCATTTTTAGCACTTAAGTACACACAACACAGTAACTTCCTTAAAGGGGGAAATGTTCAGATTCAAAAACCTGTTTGATCACAAGTCATTCAATCATGTTAGAAAAATAAAGTCCTGTACGTTTCGCCCTATAAGTCGCAGTTTTTTGCATAATTTGCATGCCCTGCGACTTATACGCCGAAGCAGCTTATTTATGATTTTTTTCCCCCATATTTATAAACCAATTTTTGGCTGAGATATGACCATTTTCATTCATTCTGAGTGAAAATATTGAACACTACCATTTTCAGCCGCTAGATGGCAGTCAAGTAGTATGGCATGCCGTTGGATCATGTAACAGGTAAAAGTAGCTATTAATGACAATCGGCTTGCCATAGACTGCCACCTTCATCCAGCTTACTTGGCGCAACCATGAAATCAATCGGCTTCATTTCACTGCGCTGCCCAGGCAAAATGCAGCTGAATTGACCATTAAAGTGCATTTATTACGTAAAAGTTCAACTGAGACACACCTTTACTATAAAGTCAAGCAAACAAATAATTGTTTTTAGCTGTTTATCTTGTTAAACTTCGAAGAAATGTGCAGGGACTCGTCCCTCTGAGTGTGCTCGCTTTCGCAAATTGGGTTTTGAAATGCAGCTGATGTGACGGTCAAAGTTCATTTATTAAGCAAAAGTTAGACTGAGACACACCTTTACTATAATTTCAAGCAAACAATTGTTTTTAAGGGTTAATCCTGTAAAATTTTTGTTAACGTCCTCCCGTGCATGCTCCCGCAGTCGCCATTTGGCAGCCAATCAATTTTTGGCACAACTCCGGCCCACATTTCCGGGTTGTCAGCGGTGACACGTAACAAATGTGACACGTCAATGGTGATGCATAATAGATGCGGCGTATACGGCGAAGCAACATATTTATGGATTTTTCCCACTTTATTAGACATATTTGGACTGATGTGACTTATAGGGCGGTGCGACGTGCACGGCAGAAAATACAGTACTTCTTTCTTTATTTCAAACTGTAATAGATAAACAGTAATAATAACAAGTGCAATGCCATTATCTCCCGGATTTGAATACTGAATGTTTTTTAGTTTTCAAGATGAGTGTTTTTCTGGACAGGAACAGAACAAGGAATGTAAGTGAACTTTAATGCTTTAGGTGCAAGATATTCAGGTGGGTAGGAGTTACACTGCTACATCAAGTGCACTGGCGAAGCCAGTGGGTGGTCAATGGTGACCCTAACCAATATAGATCAATCTTTATGGCTGCATCTTTGTATAAGTCTAGACGCAGACATACACCGCAATGGAAGTCTGCACGTTACTTTTTTTTTTATCAACTCACAAGATGGACCAACAGATGGACAGAGGGTTTGCCTAATTTCCCTCGCCGCTTTGTGACACATTACAAAAAAATACGAAGTCTTTAATAAGGTTCAAAATGAAGTCAATATGACTTCAGAAGAGCAACAAGCAGACATGTTTTGCTGTTTGCTTGTCTGGAGTTTTCCAGTGAGAGGTAGCCAACAGTTAGAACTGATCTTAAAAAAGCTAATCTCTTGTCCATCTATCTTGGCCATATCTTGATGTCGTTTCCTTTTACGAAAGATTATTCTTACCACTTTGTAAGATCAGATCAGATCAGATAAGCACTTTATTGATTCCGAAGGAAATCGTTGTGCCAGGGTTTCAGTACAAAGGAACATACAAAAGGAATCACACAAGATATATATAAAAAAACATGTTAAGATGTGCCTAAAAGAACCTCAACATAAGTATTCTGAATCAATGTCCTTTAGATAGATGAGACAAAAAAGTAATATTTGGGTCTAATGCACATATTCACATGTGGTGCTGATTGGACCCACTGTGGTCACTGTATACTATAATGCGCTCTACCAATCACAGAACAACAATCTGAGCAGTCTGTATCATTCTAGGTGCCTTTCCTCATCTATCACACTTGTTAAGTAGTTGAGCCTATTAATAGATGTGTACTAAATAACAAAAATATGATTGCAAGTTTTACAGCACCATCAGACCTTGTCAGCAGACAGCAGAGTGACATGGCTGTGTATCTGTACACAGAGTTCATGGAAATGTGAAATATCACAGATGTTTTTCCACTTACTAAAGTCAAATGCTATATTTGATGTCATGTCATATTACCATGTGTGCGCGTTAAAGAGTTGTTTTTGTCTGGATCAGAGTGCTGCATAAGCATGGAGCCTTTCATCCAAATAAGCAAGGAGGCTGCAAGAGTCGTCTGACCTTGCCTTTGTCTGATGACCATTATAAAAAGAGCTATTGAAAGAATAATAGTAAATTATCCTAACAAGAGTGAGTAATTCGTATAGGATCACCAAAACATTTTGGGGGTATGCATGCAAGTGCTAGGTCTGAATGCTCCCAATCAGAGCTTTCCACTTGCAATTAAAGATTGATGATGGATGTTAGTGACAGGTCTGAACTGGGCTTTTGTAAAGAAAAGTTGACCAACATTTTGCCACCACAACCAAAGAGGCTGCAATGATTTTTAAAAGACAATTTTTGGAGGTATTACCGGTACTTCTAAATGCTGTTCTACTTGCACCTGATTGATAGTTCTGCAATTAATCATACCTTTTGTTATGATTCTGCATTTTGACACTATTTATGCTCAATAAATAACAATGTTATATGTCAGGACCTATATGCTGCCTGATTTATGAGCGTTTGTTCTGATTTGAAAACAAATACTGTATTTAAATTGACATTTTGTAACAAAAAATGATCTGGGCTTAAAGTAGGACACTGGTTTTCCAAAGCTGAAACAAACTTCCCAAAACCCACAATTTCTTGTCAGTCTTTCACAGTTTGAGGGGAAGCAAGTCATTAAAAATGATGGATGGAGACCAGCATGAGGCTGATGAAGACTAGCACTTTTGGAAAACTTGGGCAAAATTTAGCTCGAACGCTGAATAATGCAGTTTGTCCTTTTTCTCAACGGAACAGATTGGACTTAAAGAATCAGAGTTTTATATTAGATGACTTAAGGTCCAATGAGTCTGAAAATGGATGTTTCTTTTTTATTGCAGTAGCTCTCTTCAGTGTGTGACAATAACACCTTCTAGATGTTTAAACCACTAATCTAGGGGGTTAAAGAACCAATTGTTTTATTTCTTTGTTATTTTTGTGTACATGTGTGCCATTTCTTTATTATTCCTTTAAAACAAAAGGCAAAACCATCATTACAGTAGACATAAAGGCCACTGAACTAGTCCACTGTTTAATTTGTTAATTAATTTGAAAAACTGCTGCTTTTATGGACAAAGTAAACCCAAAGGAGGCTGATTAAAATCCATCTGATTGAGACTGCAACAGTTATTCAGAATAACCAGTCAGAAGTCATATTGAAGAACTCTTACACAAATCCACCATCTGCTGCATAAATACAATAACCTTTGCAGTGCAAACATGAAATTGGAACATGCAAAGTGATTTGTTGAAGCTTATAGGAGCAAATGAGGCGAAGGAAAGCGTGTTTGTAGAAAAGTGATTGTTTAAATGTGTTTGCTCCTCAGAGAAAAGCTTCTTGGTTGTGTCTGTCTGTGTGTGTGCCCTCCAGATTAGCCTCTTCACAATCTGAGCAGCAAGCACAC